TATTTCGCATGGACCTCAGCATACGGATCTCGCAGGCAGAAGGGCAATTCCACGATGGGCGCGGGTTTACCATTGGAAGGTGATTTGGGCCAAGGCTTGGTAATACTGCCCCGTTTGCTGACGGCGTCGTGCCAGCCCGCCTGGGAGTCCATGGTCGGTTCCAGATACTTGTCGAGCTCACCAGCGCGGAACGCCGCATCGATGATGGCCGCGGTGTCTTCGGTCGAGTTTCCAAGGAAGTCGAAGTTGTTGAAGGGAGGCGGGCATCCAGAGGCGACGGAGAGTAGAGCTGCGAAGCCGGTGAAGAGGAGAAGAAAGACCCTCATGCTGATATGAGTGTCCAGTCGATGGAGTCGACAGAGTCTCAGGAAGTGGAGTGAGAAAGGGAGTTTGGTTGGGGGAGAGGAGCAGTTGCTGCGTCGTCAGTCAGTGGATTTCCATTCTCACTAGTGAGATTGCGGTCTGCTCTTTCACCTGCAGGGCTTCGGTGAAAGGAATCCAAACAAGCTGATGGTGGCTGTCATTAGTAAGTGATTTGTTTCCCAACGTCCCTTTCAATCATGACAACAATCGGCATACCTGAGACGTCTTCCCTCACAGCCAACAGCAATTCGTGCTTGCTCTTTCCTCAAACTCTCACCGTGTTGGCGCTCGCCCCTTCAAATGTGAAGCGTCAATAGAGCGCACATCAGTGTTGATGATGTCCGATGTTTTGTATGTTCTTTGGCTTCTGATGAAAGGGAAATTTGTAGCCCTCTTTTAAGGGCCGTCGAGAATCAACCAATCCCTTCGGAGTGAAAGAAAAAGAAACCATTTTCTTGATGAACATCATCATCTTCAACTAACCTGGCGTAATATACAAGGAGAAATGTGCCCAGGTGAAGGTTGCACTGTAAAGATAGTTGAATAGTTAACAAATCGAGGCGCGTATATAGGGAAGGAGACAGAAGCCTCCGATCCGTAGTTACGTCTTGAGGAGCTGTTGGGCATGCCTTACAAAGATCCCCAATTCCTATGCGATCACATGTCCTAGCTTTGGCAAATAACACACAAGTGCACCTGCGTGACTGTATTAGAAGTGGGGGATTCAAAGAACATTAGAGTGCCACCTAGGCAGTTCTACAGAAACCGAATGGAACAAATACCTAAGGAAACCATATCCCTAGGGCGCAAAGGCTACACTTGCTTGTACCCCATTTACACAATATGTGGGACAGGCATAAGGGCACTGCCACGTAAAGACTCCCTTGCTCGTGCAACAGAACCCCATCTCTCATCGATGTTCGCCCTTGCAGGCCGCTCATCCTGATCACGAACCTCCGTAACCGTAACCAAAGCAGGACTCACCCGTGTGGAGGGCAACCCACCTGCAGTGTCTGCCTCTTGTTCCCCTGCTCCATCTTGTCTGCCCCGTATGGCGCCTGTGCTTCCATCCTCACGCGTCACGGAGAACCCGGGTTCCACTGCTTGAGCCCCTAAACCGTAGCGGTATCAACCGAGGGTCGTACATCCTTTTCAACGTGGGTGGTTGCAGTGGCAGGTCCCCTCAAGGAGAACAGATCGGCCACCGTTGAGATGACGCTGAAGATGAAGGCGAGGAAGATGAAGGCTTGGTTGGCCCTCTTGAGCGAGCAACGGCCAAAGGGAGGGGCGTTGAGGAGACACCTGCCACGGCTATAGTCCTGCGAAGCGAAGATGAAGGCGGTGAGCCATCTGAGGACTGTTCAGCATGGCAGTCAACGGGAGTGTCAGTGTGTACTTACAGGTAGGAGAAAATGAGATTCATGGGCAAGTAGTACTGGCGGTAAATTCGTCCGATGAAGGGAACGATGAAGGAGGGAAGCCAGAAGAATAGTGTAAGTGCACCCTAGGGCAGTGTTAACTGTGTCGTGAAGCAGGGGACAGGATGCGCATACAATGATGATCTCGTAGATGAGATGATGGTCGTGGGTAAAGTTCTTCAAGAAGTATCCTGTGATTCCGACAACAATGGCTGCGCTGGCGAAGACCACGAAGTTGGAAGCGGATACCAGGAACCTAACCACCTTGTTCGATAGATCACCCAACCCCATCTTGATAGCGAGTTAGTATGAATGGATAGTTGAAGTTGTTAGAGAAGTGATGATTGTAGCGTGGCGTCGCAAGAGAGGCGGTAGTTGTAAGTGCGTGTGTGGTGCTCGGTGAGGAGAACGGGTGTGGGCGGGATGTTTTGTGCAGGTGCTCCCTAGCTCTGGCAAGTGCGTTATATAACCTCAGCCCATACATCATTGCCGCGATCATCCGACTGCACCAGCATCCCTTACAGGACGGCCGCACAGTGACGCTAGTGAGGTAGTCACACAAAACGTCCACTTCGAGACTTGGGTAACCACCGCATGTGACTCAAATGACATCTTTTACCCGCATTCTGCAAACAGGCATCCCCACTGACACCGAAGCCTTGTTTTCCAACCAATGTCATTCACACGGTTCAAGTGCCTTTGACTATCGGATTGCCCGGCTGCGCTAACGTTCGCACCGTCATCTTCTTGACACCAATCCAAAGTCGAGCGGGGCGGCCTCAACACATCAATTGAACGACTTTGCGTCATCAGAATGCCATCCGTTCTGCTGATAATCATATGGTGGAGCTGGTATGAACTCTGACGTCGTGGAGGCCACCAGCCGTGGATGCGACGATTGGGCAGACGAGTGACATTGGGCCTGCCAAAATCGCGATTGAGAATCATATATTCCGTCATAGCAGCTTTCCCATATGAATAGACCGTCCTGCGAGACGGTTTTTGACCCAGTACTTTATGATAGTGTTCTCGGGACGACACTCCTGTCTGTACCGAGTACTTGAAATAATACTGGTATCAAAGCTGAAGTCGGTGGAAACCCCACAGAACAATTCACACCGTTCCGGTAGGGCGTCAAGTCCTGGCTTCCGGGAGGGGCAGAGCTGCATGACTGGGACCAATGCCGTACAAATAAGCATTGATTGGGCCATACCGTACCCAGTTTAGCGTTGTTTTACAAGCGTGCGGATGGTATGCGGGGTTCTCGGATTCAGTGGGGTGGCCGAGTCCAGTGTCCACAAGTGGAATATCGATCGCGGCAAGGGCCGTTGAGCTGTCGCTTCGCTCGCTGAGTACGTAGGTAAAGGAACACCGAGTGTAGCTACGATGTTGAGACGTAGCTTTGAAGATATGGGACCCAGAAACTGATGGATGAGATGAACCCAGAACAAAAACCCTATAGAATGCAACGAATCCCCAGTCTCTCATCCCAGAAATCAATAGAAGGTGGCGAAGCCGCTGAGCATGTCAGACAGAGACCGACCAACTTCCTGTAGTCTCTCCTTGCAGTTTTTTTTCAGTTTGTTCCACACGTACGGTCTGGTAGTATGGGGAGTGGATTGATTGCCAATGAGGTGCGACTGACCTCCCTCTTCACCCGGCTGAGCCAGAGTCACCTACTGTCCTTGCAAATCGCAATCCCATCCCTTTCAACCTGATTCTCGCAATCCCGTCTTCAACGTACTGAAATGGTGCCACGGCATGGCGATTTGGACTGTGGTGCAGGGTCACAATCCAATCTCCTCGAAGCTGACATCGACAACATGGCTCTTCTTGGCATCAATGATGCACAGCATGTCTCCATGTGCCAGAGAGATGCTGTACTCGTTCCATATCTCCAGCCGATGATGATGATGCTCCTACAGAGTCAAGCAGAGTGACGACGGGGTCATTAATGGTTGCAGGGTCTGAGGCGCGGAAGTGCTCCGGAATTGCTGCCGCTATCAATCGCCGACATCTCAGCGGCCACACGGTGTGGTTGAGCTCCAACGACGTAGGTCCAGCTCGAAGTCAGAGAATTAATCGTGCAGCCCATGACCTCTTCGGTTTGCCCGAGCTTCCAATTCACTCAGGACGCGATGGAACTGGCCAAACGAGATGCAGCCCCTATATGAGAAGGAAGGCTGATCCCACTTATTCATAACCAAAACCAGAAGCGGGCGGAAGATGGCTGGAGGATCCGGATGCCACAACACGGGAGGGAAACAGCCGTCTGTACAAATAAGAAGTCTTTCCTGCCAGTTCAACATCAATTTTGAGATTGTCCAGACTATGATTGGAATCGAAGAACTGGAGAACACGAAATTGAGGACAATCTTGACAACGTCAATGCCCATACTTATTGAGACAACACGAAACCAGCGCAGACATCCACAAATGCGAAGGCTGTAACCCAACGGCCCACGGCGTAGACGGAGAGGCGATGACATACCAGACGTGAAGGCACGATATTGTGGTAGGCTCAAGGTTTTGGTGTCCTCATCCTAGCTATCTATGCTGGACTGGCTGTCATACGGATCCTTGTTCTCCGGAAGCCGTTAAGTCGAAGAACCAGGGGCGTTGAAACGGACATCTGAATGGCCTCGTCCACTGCTTATGAGGGGGATCCATACATGCCGGGTAATGCGTCGGCATTCGGGGTGAACAGGAGTTCGTCAGATCCAGAGCCCTTACCTTCCTTCTCTGGCTCTGCACCATACGGGAACGATGATGGGCGAGAGGCCCCTAGCCGCGCTCAGCTATTCAACTCCAGGAGGACGGCTGGCCTTGGGAGCGCGAATGAAGCGTATGAGACTGTGCATCATGAAATGGGGCCTGGAGAGTGTGAGATTTATACTTAGTTGCTGGTTGTGTAAAGGGAAAGGGTGAGAGCGAAGCCTTGACGATGAAGGTTGGGGCACGTGCCGCGCTTAGTCAGTGGCTCAAAGATTTCTGACCTTTCCAAGGTTCTTTTCTTTGTCCACCATTGATACATGCTACTACTTCCAGGGTTCCACAATCCTTGTCTCTTTTCTACACGCTAATTACCCTGTATACGTTTGTGTCAGTGTAGCGCTTCGAGGTGAAATTTGTCGACGTGCGTCGTCCATTGTCGGGACATGGGGCTGCGCAACTCTGGCTTCATAAATCTACGCAAGGCTCGAATTGTTTAAAATGTACGACACGATGGCCGAGTGGTCTAAGGCGGTAGTTTTAAGCTTGTCAAGGAAACACTACTACAGAAATGTGCGTGGGTTCGAACCCCACTCGTGTCACTATTTCTTTTGCAATTTTTTTGGGGCATCCTCCCCGAAACTTACGCCTGGATTCCCACGGAGCTTTCATTTTTGCTCGGGTGGGGTTGACTGGCTTCCATTCCACCTGCCATGCCTGTGGAGCCAGGTGGGACTGAGAGACCTTTCCTTGCAAGCAACACTCGTGCACCCAGATAACATCAATTCAATGGTCATACTTCAAATCATCGCTCATAGGTATAGACCCTGAGGAAACACCCTTCAACGCCCATAACTGTCACTACCTGATCTCCAACGCCTGCTTCATCTGACTCCGGATCCCTTCCGCCAAAACCTGGCCGTCCTTCTCCGTCAGATTCTGCCCCACCACATACATCTCGCCTGTCAGCCTCATCCTTGGGACCGGCACATGGACGACCTCTCTAATACAACCCAAAGCCGCGATCGGGTCATACGGCGTGACTTTCGTGTACTTGATGATCTCGTCCGCCGAGCTCTTCTCATCAATCTTAAGACTATTCGGCAGATCCGCAGTACACGAAGACTTGATAAACCACCCCCTGTCCATCCAAGTGTTATGGCGTTCCTGCTTCGGTTTGAGCGCCTCAGTGTAGAACGCGAGTTTCTGGCGATCGTGGATGTTGTGGATGTACGCCGCGACTTCTTTCATGTGCTTGCGATTGTAGTTCCCTGGATCGAAGACATCCTTTTTGAACCCGGATACAAAAGCCGCGAGTTTGTTGTATATCGTGCAGGGGATGTTGTGGTCCTTCAAAAATGCATAGACACGATTCGCGGCATCGAGGTCGTCGGTGTTATTCCGTGCGTCTTGCGCAGCGTGGAATTGGTCGTCGACGCCTCCTTGAATGTGCACTTCGGACACGACTTCCCGAAATAGTTGCTCGTCGCGCTCGATGATTTTCCAGGTATCCCGGAGGCCTGCAATGGAGAGGATGCGCACTTTCTCGCCTTTGCGACGTGCGTCTTCCAACACACGTTTCGACAGATCCAAGTAATCCGGGAAGTCATGTTTATTACGACTGCGAAACGACGCATTCATGGCTTCCTCGGTCCAGGCTGCCTGTTCGCGGTCGTGGTCGGTACCCTTTGTTCCCAGTGCGACTTCGACGTCGGTAATGTCCATTTTGCGGAACAGGCCGTCTGTTAATTGGGCGCGTTCCTCGATGGGTCTGAGCGTGACAATGATGCCTCTGAGTCGGATTTTGCGGAGCTTATGGTAGAATCCTAGGATCAAGATGGCCATCATGTCGTCGTAGTCGTTGCCGATGTCGGTGACGACGAGCACATTGATTGCTGGTGTCTGCCTCTCGCGGCCGCTGCGGAGCCAGTTCATTTTCAGGATTGTGGTGATTTCTTTTACTTTCTCTTGCACGTTGCCCATGTTCCAGCCTGACTTAGAAGGGGAACTGAGAGGCGGGATTGCGGTTCTTTTGCAATCACCGAAACGTCGTTCTTGGGAGGCTTGTTTGATGGCAGCGTTTGAGCAATATCGATGATGGCAGCATGTACTTCACACAGGCCCGTTTATATGCGTGTGTGACCCTTTGTTCTTCTTCCTTTGACTCTTGCAAACGATTCTGAGACAATGATATGTGACATGGAGGTAAGTCGTGAATGCGCGGACCAGCTACTAGTCACCATGAGAACAAGCGATCTACATGGACCTGCAAGCAAGCACAAAGACGTCGTTGAAACGCCGCAAGATTCGCGCCGAGGGCGATCGATGTTTCGGTCGGTGCAGGTGGGAATGTGGTTGAGATGAAGGCTGATGTCGCCTTGGGTTGCCCCAAAGGTGGCTGGGGCTGTGCATAAGCCGGACCAATGATTCTGTCGCTGCCTAATAAGAGAGTGCACTAAGAACGCCTTCAAGGAACAGCTTCGGATGATTTCTTATTTGCGAATAATATGGAGTGCCGTAGGACGAATTCTTTGCCCACTTTCCTTGATGAGCCAATCTGATGTTCACTGTCACGTGAAAGTCACATGCAAAATCATTCACCCTCCAAACAAATCTTCCAGTCAACCTGCAACAACCTTGATATTTTTGCTCACCAACAGCTTTTTAATCTGTATTGGCGCGCTCCTTTGGTTATCTGGCCTTCAAATGGCCGTAGAAGGACAACGAAAGCACGAGTATTCCGGTCAAGGGATTCACTGCAGAATCAAGAGTCCAATTTATATGACCACTCAGGTTGTTTCGGTATAGTAGATGGTGGCTACATCCCAGTCAAGGCGCTAGATATCCGTCCCGTCATCATCCCATCCGGAACCTGCACTTAATACAACACGTGTGCTACTTAAAGCATCGAACATGCATTTGCAGATCCGGCAGCGTATGTCTTATTATCCTGACTTCTCTTGGTGTTGCCATTCGTGCCGCAAGGATTCGCGCTTGCGCCTCCATACCTCCTTCAAAGCCATTCCACTCGGGGGTCGATGAATCACGGCACCATACAGCGTGCTGCGCCGTGGCTCGGGAGAGCGCTTCGTAGAGACTGAGGTTAATGATAACCTCGTTCAGACGTAATTTTGCGTTGTGCACTGGTGGTGGTTTGAGAAAGTCAGCACAGATAGTCCGCATACGCAGACGCAGCCGTCGAAGCGTCGTAAGAAGCGCCGCTATATCCGTGCAGATGTGGCAGGAAACATTTGTGCCGTTTGTACGGCCTGGACCTGGTACAAATCTACTGCCGCATAGATCTAGCTCTAGGCTGGTTAGGTTTTCGATTAATAAGAAGGCCCGCACTGTGGATGGCACAAGGTAGTCGAGGCCATAGGGGCGTCCTCCTAGTCTAGGGTGCATCGGATCCACTTTACTCGTAGCCTGAATACGTAGGACGCGTAGGTTCCGTGACTCTCTTATGCCGGCGGCGAAGTGTCGGAGATATTCGTTTAATTGAAGTGTCCAGGCCCGGCAGGCCGCGCGCACTTCACGTCCATAGCTATGAGGATGCCGGTGGTCATAACCCGTCAAATTGAGATCCAAGGTTTTCCCGGTGCCTCGAAGTCGAGCTAGACTTCGTTCCAAATATGGAGAGGAAAATAAGCATTGGACTGTACTCTGAGTAGCTTGGAAATCCCGAAAGCACATAGTAGATGCATATTTGTACCACTGCTTACAAATTGTAAGGCGTGATAGATCCTTGCGGAAGTAGGCCGAGTCCACGTAGTCGAAGATATGCAGCAGAATCTCTGCAGGAAGTCCAAGCGGTCCAAGCAGGGTATGTTTGGATGGCAGTGGCGGCTTCGGGTCGCAAGGTGGGCAAGCTGGTTGGATGGGGTTTGGTAGGTAGCTAGATAGGTAGGTACCATCGATCAATCGTCTCGCGATTCGGGAGGGATGCAACGCCTCAGCTTGCCGCCTCCCATTGGAGGCAAAGCGGCTACTGCTATTGGTCCCATGGGTAGGATTTAGTGGCGCCATGTGGGTGCAAAAGCTGATTCGCAGCGGGTAGGCAAGCTAAGCAAGGAAGCCAGATTGGAATGTCTGTGTATTTTCCAAGCCGAGTCGTTGTCAGTGGAGGCAGAGACACCTGCCGGTGGTTCCGCCAGCAGTTGAGCAGTGATGTTAGTCATCCAGCTTCCTTCCGAGGGTCCCGCCCTTCACGTCACATCAAGCTCTAGCAACCTTAGCCCACATCATTGCATACGGTGGAAGTACAGAACAAACCCTCGCACGAATTTTCGGTCTTTGCTCGAAAGATGCAAAGGTTTGACCGCATTCGGCCGCCGGGTAGGGCTCTGAAACACAGTGGACGTCGCATGGACTGTATGCGTCTAATAGCCGCAACCGTGTCAGTGTGTTGCAAGTCGGGTTTCTTCATGCGCCTGAATAAATCATCCTGAGCCGACGATGATGGTGTTGGTAGTGCGTAGGGTAACAAGAAGGAGTCCGCTTGCTGGCTTCGTTACCACCAAAAGCCCGCACGTACCCTGCCTGACTCCGATCTCAACCTCGCCCTCAACGCCAACATGGCAATTGCGAAGTTTGAATTTCAACTTCAACACGATCGCATCCTAAATCCTCTCCACGGCTCAATCGCGACCCTGAAATCACCAACCCAACTTCTTAAAAACCGTCTTGATCCCTCGCCAACGGCTGCATCTCATAGGATTCCCCGCGCTTTTATACACCCAAGACCCACGTACAACGGCTGCATACTACCACGCCCGACACCAGGTACTCCTGCATTTACCGGGTGGGATGTTCGTGCGCAGACGAGACTTGGGAGACCGGTATGGTGGTGTAAAGTCGACAAAGTCGTCATTTTCGATGGGATGGTCGAGACAGGAGATGGTAGCGTCGAGTACCGGACGAGGAGCGGGAAAGGGCTGCGTGTAGCCAGACGGTCAGGCATGCTGGAGGTCGTTAGGATTCCGATTGAGTGTGCGCATTGTAGGGAGATGCTGAACCGGAGGGAGTGGAAGTATGACGTTAGGGTTTGTGAGAGGGGTGTTTGTTGGGAGTGTAGGGAACGGTGTAGGTGGGAGATAAAACATGAGCAAGAGACTGAAGTTGCAGATATGGAAAAAGGGATAGAGCAGAAGAGCAACATCGGTATCCGGCCTCGAGTTGACAGCTTAGTGCAGGACACTGAGCTACAAGATACGGAGACAGGAGAGAGTTGAGAGAAATGGTTGTATGAGGTGCACGGAAGACTGTGGAACATGCGAAACAGGCTGAAAACTGTCAAGATCTGAAAAATGGATTAGAAAAGAACAACTCGAAAAAGATGCTGTTAAAAACATACCTTACAGACGTCCCGACTGCCTTCACTAACAGGATAGGGTTGGAGACGCGTGATCAAGCGAGACGGAAGCGCGAGCCTAGTCCAACTCCATCGCATCACCCATATACTCCAACGGCGCATCATCCATCTCGATCACTCCAAAATCCCCATACCCATTGGCAGCTCTCCCCTCCGTCTTATCAAAGACAATCCCAAGCGCCTGCTCACAGCCCACCAAGATGACTCTCACCATATCTCCAAGCCCAAGAT